TGCACTCTCCAGCCGAGTCAGCTGAACATTGGCAAAGGAACTGTAGTGTCATTAACTTGAGTGACGTACAGTTATGCTGAGTGGTGTTCTTGAGAATTCTCCTCCACGAGCTAATCCTTCGCTAACAAGGGTTCGACAGTGAAGTCACGCTGTCATCGAGAAATCAGATCCTTCCAAACAACTGATTTGGAGGTTATTTAAGCTGTTTTCAACAATATCAAAGGAAATCGAAGTCCCGAGCACGCCCATTGATGGAGTAAATTATTGGGTGTACTCGACTTACAACGGTATTAGTCCATGCCATTTTTTTACCGTGACAGCGATCAGAAGGAAGTCGGTGATAAAGATTACTTATGGTTAGGGTTCACGTCTCGGAAAGGCCGGGAAATTTAGAGACATGAGCTGCTCTCCAAACCCATTTTGCGTTTCATCAAGCGGGGAGGAAAGGGGTTAATTGTAAGGAATTAATTTTAGTGAGAACAAAGCAAAACCATTATTGGTAAAGAAGACACACGATCGAGCACTGAAACGAATTGCATTTTGTCCTGAGCTTTCGGGCTCTTGTAGGAGTCCATCGTCAGAGGTGGGAAAAACAGCAACTAATGGGGTGGCTACTTGTGGCGTGTGTAAAATAACTAAAATTGTGAACGTGTAGAAAATCAATAATTGTGTGTTTGTGACGCTGACTCGCCACTGTGGACTGTGCTAGCCTGTGCCAGTAGGCAAGATGGACATTTTGGATGGGAGTATTTACAGAAATAAAATCGCCAACAAAAAACAAGTAACAGTTATAAGGGGGAGCGAAGATCGTGTGTCTTCTTTGCCAATAGAAATACCTGGAATGCGAACATTCTCTTTCATTCGCAAAACCATTATTTTTTCCCAATAAAACCTAGGAACCCTTCGCGGATGTCCACGTCCTTCTTTATTGATCACTGAGTGGAAATAAAATTATGCTGAGGGGCTCACCATAAACTACCTGAAACTCTTGGATTCGGTATATTTCGACGTTCGAATGGCGTTAGCACGACTTTATATTTCCCTTAACTCTAACCTCCGCCA